TTTCCATCTGTTCCACCAACTACCGATGAATACCGACTTCGAAACCAACGCATTTCAACAAGATTATTTATCGTTTTATTAGTTATATCATTATCTATTCTTGTCTTATATACTTCACTGATAAATATTACAGAAACTGTTAATATCGAAACACCTTCGATTATAGAATATGAACAACTCTATAACTCACATAGTCAAACATTAACATGTGACTGTACAGAAATATCAATTAACTATGAAAAATTTATTCAAATTCAATATACACCACATCAAATATGTCATAGTGACTTTGTTACACAAAATTGGACAAATTATCTTGCCGCCTCGTCTGGAAACAATGATCTAGATTACACCGACTTTCGATTAACAAGTACATTTACATTTCAAGCCTTAAATACACTTTGTGTCCTGGTTGATCAAACAATATCGAATAGTTTAATCCAATTCTATTCAAACCAATATGTAAGTGCATCTGTAACACCTTCAAATTTATTTCAACTACAAACTGATGCATTTATATCTCAGTTTAAATCAGCAACAAGAAATGATTTTTTGTTATCACTTGCTATGATACGGAACACAACTCAAAGCAATGGTTTACTCTCTGGAGAACTACTTAATTTCGAACTCTATATAACAAAAAGTGGTAGTTTAGATTACTCTCAACGATCGTATGGTAATTGTGGGTGTGCTTCTTCAGGCACGTGCTCTAGTCAATCTCCAATTTACGATTTAGTCAGCGGTAATAACATATTATTTTATGTTCCGGGCCTTTATACAGGATGTTATATAATTGAATCACTACTTCAGTCTGATCTGCAATGTTTTTATAATCAAACATGTATTAATAAGCTACAATCATATTTTCAAGTATCTTCGGTTATGAATGTAACAGCTCTTGATATATCATTGTCGATTCAATTTTTGGAAAACTCAACAATTTCAGATATTCTTAATCAATTAATGGTTGAAGAGTGGATTAACTCAAGCATGTATGACAATTATTATAATGAATGTCAACCATCATATTGCAGTTATACTGTTACGACGAAGAATAGTGCAATATACATTATTACAACTCTGATTGGATTAGTTGGTGGTTTAATTACGGTATTGAAATTTATAGTACCATATTTCGTTACGCTGGTTAGAAGAAAAAAACAATTCTCAAGAGCAGAGACAGGTAGGATCAAATTGAAAACAGTTTTTTGTACATACTAGAAAGTAATAATGTGAGAAGTAAACATATTTCTTTTTGGCTAAACAACATCCTAATACCATTGGTGTTTTTACTTTTATTGAGCTTCCGAGACATTATCATACAATTTATGAACATATGAGTCAGAGTAAGAAATCAGATATATATCCCATTATTAGTATAATGCCCTATGTTAATTGTTCGCTTCTGCTGAGGAATTTTATTACATGAACTACTTAGTTGGAATTTCTTGATTTTGTGCAGCGTTGATGAAAATTTAAACTTTGAGAAAAGTATATAAGTTTAACACCATACATAAAGTCTCGTCAAGATATATTTTTAATATCATATTGTCAAGTTTAACAAATCTATTTCCTTCTTTAGCTCTGTACGTGCTCAAACGATACGCTTTTTGTATCTTTCTTGTTCTGTTATTAATAAGTGCATAGAGATCAACCAAAAAGAATTTTTAAAATAAGCGTTTAACTGTTCAATTCTATCTCTTTCATTTGATTTTGCAAGCAGTCACAAAAGTCTTCGTATCATTATAAATGATCCGAACAGGTATAACTTGAACATTTTTCATGAGCTATTTTTTCATAATGTGCGTAAGAGTGAGATTATTGATGTGTGTGTGTCAGCGAGGAGCGCAATGTTCATATCTTTACCTAATCATCTGTCTCTTTATCTTTCATGTAATATCTGACTGTAATCTTTGAAGTGCAGAGCGAAGAATGAAATTGCTAATTCTATACATTAACACTCCTTAGAATTCTTTTTCACAGGAAAAAAATCACTTGTTTCTTCTATATAAACTAAATGCTCATTTTCATAATTTTTTTCAAGTGATGAGCATTAATGAACGCGTTCAAACATTGTACCAAAAATTAAAGCTTTTTCTTTTAAATATCAATTTATTTCCATCTGTTCCACCAACTACCGATGAATACCGACTTCGAAACCAACGCATTTCAACAAGATTATTTATCGTTTTATTAGTTATATCATTATCTATTCTTGTCTTATATACTTCACTGATAAATATTACAGAAACTGTTAATATCGAAACACCTTCGATTA